CTCGCTGGATGGCAGCACAGCCCTCTGGTGCCTCCCCTGCAGGTTCCCCGGACTCGCGGTACATCCGCGTGGAGACGTGCATGTTCATGGTGAAGCTGCCGCAGTACTCCTCGCTGGACACCATGCTGGAGAAGCTGCGCTACGCCATCCACTACCGCGAGGACCCGCTCAGCGGCTGAGGCTGCCGGGACCCCCTCCGCGGCTCTGCCGACGCCGGAAACCCCTCGATTCCCATCCGGACGCCTCCCGCGACACCGTGTGAGCAGCCGGAGGTTAATTTATTTGCTGAACTTCTGTTCCCATTACAGTAATTACTGGAAGACTTCACATTTTGTATCTGTAGACTTTGTGGTGGACTGGTTCTTTTGCTGCCTTGTTTGTGGAATATTTGTAGGATAGTTTAGTAAAGACCGGTTTGTGGATAATTTAATTTTGAAAAAAAAAAAACAAACCAACCTTCAAACATGTACATTTCTAATTTTGTAACTCAGAACGGCGTTACCCGTGCGAGCACCACGAAGCGGGGGAGCACGCCGAGGTGGAGGCTCGCGAATTGCTCTCGCCTGAAGCGTTTTTGAGTACAAAAATGGCAAGAATTTGGGCTTGGGATGGAGTCGCTGCTGGGCACCAGGTGTGGGCAGGGATGGTGCAGGGTTTCTAGCACTTGCTTGAGGTTTAGAGCAGAAAACGTGCTGCCAAGCTGCATGTTTCCGTCTCCACCATTTTCCTGTAAGGTTTTAAACCAGGAGCGAGCACATCCACCGTGGATTGGGGGTTTCAGCCGGACACTCTGGTTAGGGAGGTGAATAACTGCAAGAACAGTGAAAGGGCCGTACTTCAGTCAGGTTCTTGCCCCAGATGTTCTTGAGCGGCTGCTTTGCTTGGGAACAAAATAACTTATTGTAATTAGAACATGAGCAGAAACCACATGGCTTCTCTCCGTCCGGTGTAAGACACCACAGGTCAAGCCTGGAATCTGAGACTTTACCCTATTGCCAGAGAAGTTTTCAGGATAATCCGTGTGGGTAAACTCTTATCACCCATTTTTGTACTCAAAAATGATCTAAGAGCAAATTCTGCCGGAACCAAGACGCCCGAGGTGAGGGAAGGCACAAAGTCACTGTTTGGAGATCGAACCTCTGTGTTCTGTGAAAGGGAGCAGCAGACTTGGAGAACGCGGCTCTCCACGTTAAACGTTTGTGTGGGTGAAACACGTCCTGGGCTGGTCCAGACCAAGCCCTCTCCACTCCTGTCAGAGCGGTGGCCCCGTGCCGGCTGCGTGGAAGAGCCCAGCATCGCTTTGTGAACCATGAGCGCGAGCTCCCGGTGCACCACAACCCCCGGGGGACGTCCACGGCACCGCGGCTCCGTCGCTGCCCGGCTCTGCGCGAGGTGTGCGATGGGGGGTGCGTGACCACGCTCCCAGGTTGGTATTGCACCAACTCGGCTTGTCAGGGGCCACGGGAATCGCAAAAGCTGTATTTATTGTACATTACTGTGAATATTTGGGAATGATGAGCGCGTGGTACTTGGAAGATAAAATGTGAGTAAGAGAGCAAAGCCGAAACTCGTGTGTATATTCTTGTTCTTCTGTGAGCGGATGGAAAATCGTGTGTGCAGCAGTCGTAGAGGTAGATGTCGGCATCCAGAGCCTCCAGGTCCCGTGCTGAGGAAGCTGTGTTACCCTCCTCCTGCATCTCGCCCTCCTGACGGAGCAGATCCACGGAGGAGGAACATTTACTCTTGAATCTCGTCCATTTCCTGGTAGAAGCACATATGTAGCTGAGGAACCCCTCGGAGAACGCGTGGAGGTCACAGAGACCAAGGGGAAGCTGCGCGGGAGCGGCTCGGAGCCGGTTTGTTCCCGAACGGGCACTGTGAGGAGCCGGGACGGACGTCGGTCGCGTTTCGTGGCCAAGCCCTTGGTGCTGCAGCGACGCGCTCGGGGTTTCTTCCTGGCGACTGCACCGGGGTTGTTTTGGGTTTAAATCGCCCGCTTTGAGCCCTTGGTGCTCTGGTGGACTCGGTGCGGCTGCAGCCCTCCCTGGCCACGGCCAAGAGCTCCGAGCGCTGCTGGGGCCCGAGGTGAGGGCCTGCTGCTCCGTCTGCTCCTGCCACAGCCGCGTCTTGGCCTGAACCGCGCGCTGGAGAGTGACTCGATGCATATTTATTACAATTAATTATTTATGATTACAAATAACGAACTTTTAGTCAAGGCTGTTTACACCGTGCTGTGTAAATGAAGCCTCTGATACAGGAAAAGTGTCACCCCGAGAAATCACCCTCATCGACTTTGGTTTTTCCTGAAGAATGGGATGAGCCCTGCGAGAGAGCGACGTGGGATGGGGTTTTTTGGCTTTTTTTTTTTTTTGGTTATGTTACTAAGGAGGGAAAGTGCTGCAGTGCTTGGACTGCAGCTCAAATGGCCTTTTAATTAAAGCTTTTCTAATCATCGTTACTTCCCCGTGCTTTAAATGAACCTGACATTGTAATGGGCTTGTTTGTCGAAGCGGAGATTGGTTTGTGATTTATTTTTTTTTTAAATATATATTCATTCAGAATGTACAATTATACTCAACCATGGAACAACTCTGGAGCTGGGTATTCGTTCGAGCTTGGTGTGTGTCCATCTCGGTGCCGTGCACAGCGTTACCTGTCAAGTGCTCTTGGCCATACAGTGTACACCTGCATAAAGGAGATTCTCAACATCCCCCAGCTGTGCCGTGTCCTTCTTTGGGGCTGGAAATCACTAAAGAACCCATTGAAGCAGCTGCAGAGGAGCAGAGCTGCTCCCAGGTTCTGCTTTTCAATCCCACTCTGAGGGGTTGCTACCCTGTAATTTGTATTGACTTGGAAGAGGAATGTAAATATTTTGTACAGAAGGGAAAGCGAGCACAGTGGTTGCAGTGTTTCTCTTCCCTGAGGGGCGATGCAGACTCAGCCAGGGCTATCCTAGTTCATTATATGAGCCCAGCACAGCCGCTCTGCTTCCCTGCCCCTGCCAGAGCCGGTTTCCCCAGCAAGGCCAGGGCAAGGGTGGTTGCCACCTGTTTTTCAATACCTTTATTCTGCTTTTCCTGTGTAAATAAACACATTTGGTGGAAGCAGCTGCAAAATGTCTTTATTGTAGACCCAAGATCCCTGCTTGGGATCAGCCCTGCTGGTGCCATCTGCTGTACCCTGGTAATCAGGCTGATGCCCAGGGGATGGTGCCAGTGCTCACAAACCAATGCCCAAAGCCGACGCGGATGTGGGTCAGACCCGGCCGTCAGCAGGTGCGGGGTGGTAGAGGTCCCGTAACAGACTTGTACTGCACGATGGTTTGGAACACCATTAGATAAATTTTATTACAAGGAATTTAAAAAGTGTGGATTAATACAGCATCAAAAAGCATTTGACAAGACAGCCACGGGCTCAGAGCTTGGCCAATGCCAACGCTCATCCCCTCTGTGCATGCTGGGCGTGTTTGGTGACACCCAAGGCTGTGCGGCTCCAACCCCTGCATCCTCAGGACCCGGCTCTGGAGGACGCGTGGAGCCCAACCACTGCACCCCTGAGCCCAGGCCCAACCCCTGTGCGTTCCCACAGCGCAGCAGGACCCAGGCTTGAGGCTCAGGGAGTCACAAATCCCCTTTTCTGGTTGTCACAAAGAGCCAGGATGGAAACACAACCCAGGCAGAAGCGTAACTGCTGGTGCTAGCGCAGATCACAGAAGGAAAAACTTGTATTATACTCTCACAAATTAAAAATAACATATATACATATATACATAAAATGATCATTGCCTATAAAAGTTTTATATTCGTAGAAAGTCTCTAATGATGCAGCCATATAGGAATGTGAACCCAGAGAAATAAATACCACAGCACATCGTGACTGCATAGGGTGCTGGATGTGGGTTTCAGAAGTGGTGGCTCACTTCTCTGGCTGTCCAGGTGCTGGGCTCTGGGCTTTTGCCTAAAGGGAAAGGAAGGGGGAGAGCGTAGAATTAAAAAAGAAAGTAAAAAAGCAGTTTTCCAAGAGAACTTGGTGAGAAGCAATCGCTAAAAACCTCACTGGGGCAGGAAGGATGGAAAATAAGTCACTGCCTGGCAAAGCCATCACAAGGGGCAATGCCTGGCCCTGGCTGCGTTACCTTTGTGCTCCTGCGCCCCACGGGAACGTCCGACAGCCTCAGGCTCCGTCCTCCTCCTCCTCCTCTGCTGTTGCTGCGGAAGAACAGGGAGGCTTTCAGAGGAGCAACCTCCCCCTCAGTGCTCTGATGCTGCACACACACACACACACACACACAAGGAGACTCTGGGAGCCCCTCGTCCTTCTCCTGAACCCCAGCCCCGTTATTTTGGTAGCAGAAGGAGCAGGTCCCACACAAAGAGCAAAGCTCAGACGAGCACACGATGATGGGCAGCACATGAGGCACTACCCTACGCTGCCTCCCAGGGCCTATTTGTCTGTTCTGTTTTGATATAAGAGTCCAAGTTTGCTGTTTGAAACTCGGGTGAGCACCAGCCAAATTAAATCGAGTAAAACCCTGCCATCCACAGATCCAAGGGAACCCAGATCTGCACCACGAGGAACCGAGGCAGAGGCCTGGAATGGATTTGTCACCGTTGGTCGCTGCTGTCTGAAGATGGGGACGCACCAGGCCCAAGGTTGTGCCCCCATTTCCAGCAGAGCAAAAACTGCCCCTGCGGTGCCGCAGAGCCCTCACCCCTCAGGGCAGGCCCAGGGTGGCTGCTTGAACGACAAAGGCGTTACCTCAGTGGGGCTGGAGCAGCTCTGGAGCAGCCGGGTAGGACGGCTTCAGACCGAAGGCTCGGAGTGGGTCTCGCCCGCGGCGCCGTCCCCCTCGCAGAGTCACTCGCAGCTCTGCTCTTCAGCCTCCCCTCGACCCCAGGCGCCTTCCTGGGCTTCCCCCTCGCCTCGGCATCGCGAGCTCTCGCTGAAGAGGACACCGGCGGCCGTATCGCTCGGTGACTTGGTCCCTCGCGCAGGAAAGCTGAGCCTCTGCTGCCCGAAGCCTTCAAAGCACCAGGGAGAAACATCTCCTGAGAGGGCAAGAACACAGCGCTTAACGGGAGCAGGAGATGCAGCATCACTGAGTGTCAGTGATTTAATCTGTCTTGGATAAAACCAGACCAGCAGAGGGGATCAAGATTTTTAGATTTTGGAGACAGAACACGGTGACAGCGCCCGTTCAGCCTGGGACACGCACGGCTCCCTGTGAGTACAGAGGAAAAGGTTGTGCCCAGGCCGTGTTTGCCCACACCTTGGTGCCTGAGTCGTCTCTGCGCTGGCTCTGCCGCGTCTCTCCCCTCTCCATGGACTGGAGGGGACCGCAGGCGCTGCGGGGCCGGGCTGGCGGCTGGGCTGGCTGGGCGCAGGTCGCAGTGGTGCTGCAGCAAAACACAAATGTGGGTGTTTAAATGACGGCTCATTCGCTTATTCCTGTAAAAACACTGCAGAGCATCAGCCCTCGGGCCAGCAGGGAACTGTGTTTAGGAAGAGGCAGCTATTGCTTGTCGACACCCGAACAAGACAACAGAAACCCACAGGACACAAAACAAAATAGGAACTAGAAACAAGACACTTGTCAGATACGAGGGATACCACATGGAACACAAAACTGTCAACACAGGGCATCCTTTTTGGGGTTTGCAAACAAACAATTGTGGCAACTCGGCTCCCGTCACTAATTCTTAACAAGTCCTGATTATCGTACACAAACATCACCAGAAATGCTCAGAGCTGGTGAGTAAAGCAGCCTTTGCAGCCTGCATTTCCAAAATGGTTAGATGTCTTCCAACCCCCAGTGGTAATAGGAAGGGGATGGGACTTCTCCTCAGCAAAGGCTGAGCTATGAAATGTTGTGAGCTCTCATTTCTGTGAGCACTGGATTTACTATCAGCAAGGAGAGGAAGAAGAACAGAAGAACAGTGGCAGTTGTCTGTGCTGTCTGCTCCCTCACCGGTCACACGCCTGCGCTCCTCTCTCAGCTGTGAGATACGTTTCAACGTACGGCTACATCAAACATTTATCTTGTGCAATTTCAGCGCCTTTTCTTTAGTTTTCATGACAAGAGCTTTCCCAATAACTGTTATTTTTCAGCAAGAGCCTCAGCACACCCCACCACCTTAGACGGGACCCAAGAGGCTTTGTTTAGGAAGATCTGACGCGGGGCACAGTCGCCTGAATGTGAATGAAATGTGCCACAAGAAGAGGCCGCAGGACTCGGCACAGAACAACTGGATGTAGTACGACAGATCAAGTACCTGATGGTGAAAGAGCACCTCCTCTTCCAGCTGGATGCCACAAAACTCACAGGGGATCACGACGTCTGCTTCTGCCTGGACCGCTCGGGGCCGGGATGAAGAGAGGGAGCTGCAGTTCCAGGAGCCGAGGGCGCGCAGGCCACCGAACCCTCGCGGATTTGGGGAGCTGCCTTTGCTGAACGAGGCAAAGGCACTCGCCGGGTTACAGCCTGTCTGGTGTGCAAGAAACACGGGGAAATTACCTCTTCTGCAGAGCAGAGACGGACTTTAAAACCAGGCTGTGCAAAGACCTCAGTGCTGGAGCTCCCTCAGCGTCACCGAGCAAAGACTGCACCCTTCTTCAGTCACAGCAGCAAAGCCTCTACTGTAAATCCTCAGGTACAAGAAAGTGCCAAACCTGGTGCAGAATCAGTTCTTCGGCAGGGCAGAGCTCCTCACAGAACTCACACGGCAGCATGGTGACCTCGTCGGCTGCAAAGGAAGCAACGGGTTTATTCTCTGCCATGGAGAGAAGTCGGGTCAACCGATCTTCAGAATCCCAAAACATCAGACTCCCGTGCTGTGCCGCAGGGCAGCAACCAGAGCAAACACCGCCTGCTGAATTTCACCTGAGCAAACTCCCATCCCCAGAGCCAGAAGGATGTTTAGGGGTCACAGATATATCAACAGCCCATCACTGCGGTCAGCGGTACCTTCAGTACCATTTCTCCTTGCAAAATAAGCCAGCGCTTCAGGCCTCCCCCGATCACAGAATCACAGAATCCCAGACCGTTAGGGATTGGAAGGGACCTCAACTGCTGAATTTCACCTGAGCAAACTCCCATCCCCAGAGCCAGAAGGATGTTTAGGGGTCACAGATATATCAACAGCCCATCACTGCGGTCAGCGGTACCTTCAGTACCATTTCTCCTTGCAAAATAAGCCAGCGCTTCAGGCCTCCCCCGATCACAGAATCACAGAATCCCAGACCGTTAGGGATTGGAAGGGACCTCAAAAGCTCATCCAGTCCAATCCCCCTGCCGGCGCAGGAACACCCAGATGAGGTTACACAGGAAGGCGTCCAGGCGGGTTTTGAATGTCTGCAGAGAAGGAGACTCCACAACCTCTCTGGGCAGCCTGGGCCAGGGCTCTGTCACCCTCACTGAGAAGAAGTTTCTTCTCCAATTGAAGTGGAACCTCCTGTGTTCCAGTTTGTGTCCGTTACCCCTTGTCCTATCATTGTTTGTCACCGAGAAGAGCCTGGCTCCATCCTCGTGACACTCACCCTTTAAATATTTATAAACATGAATGAGGTCTCCCCTCAGTCTCCTCTTCTGCAAACTAAAGAGCCCCAGCTCCCTCAGCCGCTCCTCATAAGGGAGATGCTCCACTCCCTTGATCATCTTTGTAGCCCTACGCTGGACTCTCTCCAGCAGTTCCTGTCCTTCTTGAACTGAGGGGCCCAGAACTGGACACAATATTCCAGATGCGGTCTCACCAGGGCAGAGTAGAGGGGGAGGAGAACCTCTCTGCCCTACAACCACCCCTCCTGATACACCCCAGGATGCCATTGGCCTTCTTGGCCACAAGGGCACAGTGCTGGCTCATGGTCATCCTGCTGGCCACCAGGACTGTCCACCAGGATCCTCCCCGTCACGTTTACTGCAACAAGGAAGTTGTGACCTGCTCAGTTGTTGTGAATCTCTCCCCACACACCAAGGTCAGAGATTCACTGTGGCTTTTACTTCTTCTTGCTGTGCTGTCTTGCTTTAGCAACATCTCTTTGAAAGAAACTGTTTTATATATGAATATTGCTAAGTTTTGAGGGAGCAGGAGACACGATTTGAGGAAGGAAGAATGGTACTCATGGCAAGTCTAATCCCCTGTGTATTAATGATCTAAAAGTGATTTAGAGGGAGTCTCAGAGAGACTCATTCTGGTGTTTTAAAATACTGAGATAATCTTTAACATCCCCAATCCAAGGATCCTCTCTTTCCCTCTCCCTTCCTTCAAACTTCAAGGAAAAAAAACCCAACCACCACAGTAAGTATAAACAGCATTCAGACTCACTTTTTCTGTGGCTTGATGTACTAAAAGGCACTGAAGAGTCGCACCAGAAGGTATCTGACTTGCCTGTGGCATTAAGACGGGCAGATGGCACGGGCTCTTTGGTGCGGCGGTTTTCCCAGACGTCCCCGGGAGGCTCAGCAGCAGCGTTATCCTGAGGATTATTCTCGTCCTGCAGGCTCAGCGCCAGCACGTAGTCTAAATCGGCGCTCCACTCCTCGTCAAGTGACGAGTCAGTGCTTGCGTCTCCCTCCAACCGCTCCACTTCATCCCCTTCTAAAGATAAATACAAGACGTTTGAGAGCACCGAGCCGTTCTCTGCCGTGCACCCGACCTCCCCAGCCACGGGGGTTTCACACGTGGACACTGGTGGAGGTCGGTGTTTGAACCTAGAAGGACGCCTGTAGCAAACTCCGGAGGATGAAGGAAAACAGTCATCTTCATTTTGGTTGTAACAAGCAAAAAAGGAGAAAAAGCTCAAAACTGAGCTTTTGGGAGCTCTAGGAAGGCACCGAGGAACGTCCTGTGACCCACACTGTGAACCAGGTACAGTTCATGCACTGCACTCTCGTCCCTTTTACGAGGCTGCAACACTTCAGCTCTGTTTCTTCAGTGTATCAATGGGAAAACAAATTCCTTTAAATCATATTGCATTTCACAACTGGGAACTCTACATGGTCAGAAGAAAACCATGAATTTTTTTTCTGGCAGGAAACCTATACTGAAAAAGAAACCAGGGCTGCAGAGCAGGGCCCAGGACTCAACTGGTGATGCCCAAAGACAGGCTGAGTCCTCCTCCCCGTGCTGCCCCATTTCGAATCTCTCCGTTATTTCATTTGTACTGATTATACAAGAATTTTAAACAAAACTTCCATGTGCATAAAAATCCTGCTGGTGAACGCTGTTGGAATGTAGCACAAATGGCCTACAAGCTACAGCTCTCCAGATTTCTGAGTTTTATTACCTAAATCTAGAAGTTATTTCTACAAGCCAGGCCGTTTTCTACAGCCAAGACTGTCATTTAGTGCTCTGCAGTGTCACATCCTCTGAGCGGCCCACAGCGTGAAGCAGAGCACGGATTCACACAATCACAGAATTACTGGGGCTGGAAAAGACCTCTGAGATCACCAAGTCCAGCCCATGACCCAACACCACCACATCAGCCAGACCGTGGCACTAAGTGCCACATGCAGCCTTTCCTTAAACCCCTCCAGGGACGGTGATTCCACCACCCCCCTGGGCAGTCCACTCCAATGCCTGATCACCCTCTCCATGAAAAAGTGCTTTCTGATCTCCAGCCTAAACCTCCCCTGGCACAGCTTCAGGCCATGCCCTCTTGTCTTGTCACCAGTTGCTGAGAGCTGCTGGAAAGGGCATGTCTGAAGTGTGGCACGACGCATTTAAGCATGACACGACCCTCTGCACGAGGAGGTGAGAGATCAGAGGCTGAGGAAAGAGCAGAGGCATTGATAAGTCTCAGCTACAGGCAGACGGGGTGTTACTGCAGAAATGCACAGCACTACAGATGTAAACCCACGTCCAGATCTTACCTACCCTGCCCTTCACTGAAGTAAAGAGGATTGCAGCTGCTAAACAAAACCAGACAGAATTCACAGTGAGCAAAAACTCCGGTTTCATGTTGAAGCCAGACACTTCGACACAACTGCAAAGGCAGTGGGCTCGGCGTTCACACCCCAGCAGTGCTCTCTTTAGCTGGGTGGTACCTTTGCAGTTGTGTTCCACGGTGAAACAGCCCCACACACGGCGCCTCTGCAGCGTCCATCATTCAGTATTTTCACAGAGAGCAATTACAAAGCCTTACCCTTGGATCAGCTGCCAAATGTCAAACCAGAAGCCAAGTATTACTCTAGACCTTACCTCGCTTTTGGTTTCTTTGGGCTGCTGAAACATTTCTCCTGCTAATGCCCTTAAGTGTTTTGTCTCCTACATAGCTGCTGTAAATCTGCTTTTCCACCACAGTTACCTGATCTCAGGCGGTTTCTGATGTCTCGAAGGGCGCGCAAATCCGCATCCTCATCCCCGAAGCGACGCGCTGCTCTGCTCCCTCTCACTTGTTCTGCCTCTCGCCCGCAGGTTCGAGGATGCTCTTTCAGGTCTTTCACCAGGACGTTACGCCCGCAGCCGCCACATCTCTCCGTCCTCGCCCCGCAGTAGATTTCGTGGTCCTGGAGCTTGTGGAAAGCGAGCTGAATGTCGCAGAACTGGCAGGCAGCGGGACGCAGCGGGCACGCCGACGCCTGAGAAAAGAACAAGGGATTATTCTTCATGTATGGAAGACTGAGGGAGGCTCTCAGTTTGCCGAAGAGGTGAGCAGCCTGTTGTCTCTGTAGCCAGATCCAAAGCTACGCTAAAGAATGGCCTGAAATAAGAAACCACGTGAGAAATACAAGAACAGCAAGTTGTATAGGCTGTGCAGCCAGAGCCGCACAAGCTGAAGCACTCCAAGGACTCAGAACACTTTGTTAACATCTGTAATGGTTGGACGGCAGATTCACGCTGTGCTTTGTGAAGTTCGCTTTTAGATAAGGTTTTGACATCCAGTACTATCACATGGCCTTGAGCACCGCTAGCAAACAAGTTAGTGTGTGTTCTACCAGGGAACAGGGCTTTGAGCTGGACCTATCTTCAAAGAAAATCCTTTTTTCCTCATCCATAAGCAGCCTTGTGTGGCACTTTCAGAGCTGTCTGTAAATGATCCCGCTGGAAGGGACGGTGCTGACATTTATAATGAGATCGTCTGTGACAGCAGCCAACTGGATCCAGAAACTCAGGGAACCCCACTGTGTCCTATTTCAGACTATTTTACAAGCTATTTTAGAAGTCCGTTTGGACACAATGAGTTATTAAAACCCACGTAACGACTGCAGCAGAGTCAGAAATGCACAATGTTAAAGGAATGAGAAAAGTCAAGTTAATCACAGCCAGTACTTCCAAAACAGCGCACCATTTTCCACCTTAATGAGGGCAAAATCACCAATTAACACAGACACCTCTTTGATACAAAGCCTTGAGCAGGCTCTAGAACCCATGCTCAGAAATACCGTCCAGTATCTCCCAAGTGTTTAATAAGATAAATTCCACCAACCTGGTGATCCTTCAAGAGACCTTTTTCCATCTTCATCCTACACTTGCAGGTAATCTAGAACAGACAGACCTCGTTACATTAATTGCCACAGAAGTCAGCGATTTTAGAGGAAAAACGAGTTTCTCACCTGCACGTGCTCAGACGCAATGTGGTTCTTCATTTCAGACTTGGGGACCGACTCGCCGCAGCAGCGGCACACTTCAATGTTTCTGCTGCAGTGGATTTCG